GCAGCGTGCTGCAGTCTGAGCAGCTTACAAGCAATAGAAACTCACTTCTCATGGTTCTGGAGCCTGGAAGCCCACGGCCAGGGCACCAGCAGAGTAGGGTAAAGCCCTCTTTGGGGTTGCAGACATTTCACTATATCCTCTCACGGCAGAAGGGGCTACAGAGCTTGCCGGAGACTCTTGTATCACGACACTAATGCCTTTCCCCATGTTCTGCCCTCGTGACCCCCTCCCAGAGGTCCCATGTCTTTGTTCAAATTGTACAACCTAGGAGAAATGGATAAATCCTAGGAACATGCAACCTATAAATGCCGAGTCACAGAGACAGAGAAAATCCGAACAGACCCATTACCAGAAGGAGACCAAATCAGTCATCAAAATCCTCCCAAGAAACGAAAGTTTAGGACCAGATGGCTTCACTGCCAAACATTTAAACAATTAATACCAATCTTTCTCAAACGCTGCCAACAAATAGGAGGGGACACTCACAAACTCCTTTTACAAGGCCAACATCACCAAAATCAGAGAAGGGCACTTCAAGAAAGAAAATTACAGGCCAAGATCCCTGATGAACATAGAAGCAAAAATCCTCAGCAAAGTATTAGCAAGCCGAATTCAGCACGACACTGAAAGACTCCCACACCATGATCGAGTGGGATTACCCCCGGGGTGCAAGGATGGCTCACCGTCTGCAGATTAAGCGAGCTGACGCACCAGTCACCAGACTGAAGGGTGAAACCGCGTGAGCACCCCACGGACACAGAAAAAACATGTGACAAAAGTCAACACCCCTTTATGGTAAGTAACTCTCAACAAAGTGGCTCATAGGGAACGCACCTCAACGTACGAAGACCTACACGCTTTAAATGGACAATGCAATAATTTTTTTCTTCACCTAAGTGTAAAGTCACCGGGTATAATTCACATTCCCTTTGAAACAGAGACGTTAACAATGACACATATTTAAGGAGTAAAATCTTCCCCACAACAAAGTCAAATTCTGCTTGTGGGTAACTCAAAAGCCTTATGAATGTGATTACGTGTAGGAATTGTCTGAATGTGCTGCCCTTGGTCCATTTCTCTGCCTTGTCAGGTACCTAGGATCCTACAATGATGAAATCCTCAGATTAGGGGGTGACAGTGTTTCTCAAAGGGCCGACAGCTCGTCATGTACTGAAAATGGGAAGAAAAGTTCCCTGACCTCCTGCACATCCCTGCTATGTCCTCCTCAGAGCCCCTCTCCAGCCTCAGTGTGGCTCTGGGCAGCGGGGTGGGGGGTCGGGAGGAAAACTCTTCCCCAGAATGTTCTGTGCCTCCAGGGTTTCCTCTTACCTCCTCTGTTTCTGAAGCAGAGTCCGGTTAACAAGTCAGATCGGGGTTTGAACTTTTGGTATAAGATCTGACAGTAATTTTCATTTCTAAAAACAAGCAAACCAATCAGAACGGCCACCATTTGCAAGCCCACAAATGACAAACGGGGCGGGGGTGTGGGGAAGAGGGAGCCTCCTGCACTGCTGGTGGGGGTGCAGTTCGGTGCAGCCGTTATGGAAGGCATGTGGAGCTTCCTCAGAAAAACTAAAAGTAGACTTACCTTCTGACCCAGCAATCCCACTCCAGGGCATATATCCAGAGGGAACCTTAATTCAAAAAGATGCATGCACCCCAATGCTCACAGCAGCACTGTTCACAATAGCCAAGACATGGAAATAACCTAGGTGTCCATCGACAGATGACGGGGATAAAGAAGCTGTGGTATATTTATACAGTGGAATACTACTCAGCCGTAAGAAGGAAAAAAAACACCATTTGCAGCAGCATGGGTGGACCTGGAGATTGTCATTCTAAGTGAAGTAAGTTAGACAGAGAAAGAAAAATACCATGTGGTGTCACTCCTGTGTGGAATCTAAAGAAAAGAAAAAAGAAGACACTAATGAACTCATCTACAAAACAGAAACAGACTTACAGACATAGTAAATAATCTTATGGTTACTAGGGGAAAGGGGGTGGGAAGGAATAAACTTAGGAGTTTGAGATTTGCAAATGTTAAACCACTATATATAAAAACAGATTAAAAAATTTTTCTTCTGTATAGCACAGGGAACTGTGTTCAATATCTTGTAATAACCTTTAATGAAAAAGAACATGAAAACAAATGTACGATTTTAAATGCATGACTGGGACACTGTGCTGTACACCAGAAACTGACACATGGTAACTGCACTTCAGTTTAAAAATAAAGAAAGAAATAAAAACAAGCAAAAGGAGGATAATATTTTGACCACAAACTTGGAGGTTTGCTTTCCTTCCTTGGACTATAATTAACAATAATAATTACGCTTCTTGGTTGTGGCTGCAGTGGCTCCTTACGTCCATCATCAGAAGCCCTCGTTAAGCCCTAATGGGGCCAGGTGCTTCAATTAGCGATGGCACCATTCCATTTAGACTTGCAGAACGTCACAGTTCTCAACATGGCAGGATGCGTGCCTCTGAGAAGGATTTAACTTCCCTGGTTTGAAAGTGTGTTCCATCCCAAGGGATCTGTTTTGTGTGAATCTCCAGATAGCAAGACATAAGATGAGAGGGAGAAGGCGGGGGCGTGCATCCGCCTCCTCCCAGCAGACTCTGGTGCCGCGTGCTGAAATACAGAGACACACGTATCTCTGCTCCCCTGAAGTAAGTCCTGTAATGAAGGCAGCTCCCCCCAAGAGAAGCACGTTTAATTAGCATGGATTTATGTATGGCTTGGCTCACCAGGATAGCCTCGAGAGATGAATGTCTTGTCACGGGAAAGCCCAAGAGCTGTAGCCGCCAATCTTCCTCCCGCAGACTCGGCACAGGGCGGACAGCAGGTGAGGGCGTCCGCATCCTGCTTCCAGACAGACGCGGACCCGGAGCCCCTGGCTTCTGCTCATTTTCAGGAGTGGCCCCCGAGAGCCCCGGCGTCCCTCCTTCCACCCTGTCAGGCAAACCTGCTCCTGAGGTGAAGCTGACACTCGGAGAGCCTCCCCCAGCCCCTCAGCCGCTGTAATTAGCAAGAAGGAGGGACCTGCTTCTGCCCAAATGCAAACCACGTCAGCTTCCTAAATACAAAGCCCACAGATCCTTCACATGCAAACATTTCATTCCTTGACCTGTAGCCAAAAAGTCACTCTGATCGTGCCTCAGTTACGTCCTTTTTTCTCGCTAATTTCTTCTAGAAAACAGTAGTTTTCTTTAAAATAAGGTTTTTGCATTTCCGATTATTGCCCACAAAGAAAAATGTAGTGATTTTAAAGGAATGATGTTCTATAGAGTTTCCGTTTTTGAAATTAAAACAAATGGTGGGTAAACGCATCATTAAAATATTAAATAATGGAATTAAGTTATGGCATGTCAAAACAGCTTGTTAACCTTACAGCTGACAAAAACCGTAGGAATTTTTACAACAGCTCTTTGTGGAAGGCAGGGGACATAATTATCACTCACACCCCACCCGCAAATGATATTTTCTTTCCTCTGTTGGAGACTGCGGTTCTAAATTGTAAGAATTTTAAGTCGAATTGTAGATTGTGTTAAAATAAAATGTGATTTAAAAAAAAACGCCAGCGATACCTGCATCTGTCATCCCAGCTGCTCTGGTCATTCCTACTGGCTGATTAGCAAGGTGTTCAGTTGTGACCTGGCCCATTTAAGTGACCACGTGGCCGTGGGAGAAGTGCTTGGGGTCTGGGGTCGCCCCTCTTGTCCAGCATGTGTAACCCATAGTAACCCTTTGATAACCGACCGGTCTAACTGGAACAGTGCACGCAGAGGAAAGTTCAGCAGAGTGATCGCTGACTCTGACGGTGCACATCCAGCCGGCTCTACCGGCAAGTGCTGGCAACGCTGGTGAAATTGTAGAAAATCGCTTTTTCAGGAGACTTAACAAATAAACAGAGAGAAAATTTCCAGGGTTTAGCAAAAGGACACAGGCAAAGACCGCAGGCTGAAATCATGAACGGGCAGCACCAGAGGACGAAGGAGCCGGCAGCCAACACCCGGCCAGGGTTCATTACTCGTCCTGAGCAGCTGTTAGGAAAGTTAATTTTTAAACGCTTTGAGGTGATTAAGAACCGGGCAACACTCTAAATGTAAATAAGTCCCATTTCACTTCCTCGAGCCCGCCTCTGACTGGGGCGGTCACCAGCTCCGTAGCCTGCTGGTCACTCTAAGACCCAGTCTCGTTCGTAATTAACCCTGCCTCCTCAGGAAGCCACCACTTAGCACACTCGCTTATAAACAGAAGCACAGGAGGCCTCACTCTCCACGCCTTGCTGGAGAAAAGCTGGGTTATCACAGAAAGCCACGATAAGGCCTGAAGCCTTCTTGTGTCGGTGGCAGAGTGCTGACCAGGTATTTAGTGGACGGTGGTGTCATTTCCTTCCACCAGCAAATCTGAAGTCACTTGAGAGACGTCTGAGCAAGTGAGTTTTGGTCTTTTTTCTACATAACGAGATTTCTGTCCCTCCAACTACGGCTTCTGAGAGGAGCCCCATGGGTTATGCATTTCCCAGTCACCTTCTCTCTCTCCCTGCATATCCACTGTTCAAGTCCCCTGTCTTATCATAACCAGCCAGGTCGCCCCAAAACTGAACTTCCATCACGACTGCTGGGCACCGCCTGCCCCACAGGCCTGGATGGCCAGCTCATATCGTTTGCAATTCACTGAGAGTCAGTGCGCTGCTGTAAGATTGTGTAACTGCTTTACCCCGGAGACCCTCATAAAAATGAGTGGGCTGACTCATAAAACTGTCCCACTGTGCAGAACTGTCAACAGCTCCCTTAGAGGCAGGACGCATCCAAGGCCACAAAAAGTGGGCGCCCTCGGTGCCAGAGAACAGAGCCAGCACCGCTCGAGGGCGTGTCCCTCCTCGCCCCAGCGGCCGCGTTTGGCCTGAGAACTGCAGTGCCAGTTCTTTTCTCCATGTTTCGCAAGTCGGCAGCGTGTCCTCACTCAGACTTGCCTTCTGTTTCCTCTTCACCACTGTTTGCAGACACAGGAAAGGGCCAGAAGGCTCACATGAGGACAAGGCCCCTGCTGGAGCTCGGTCCTGTTGACCAGCCGTGTGACGTGCTGTCAGCATCACCGTGTTTACACGAGGGATTAAATAAATAGTCTCTGGGCAGCTGCTGGTTTTACTGCCCGCTTTTCAGACTCAGAATGATGTTCCAGAAGAGCGAGACTCTGACCCAGTATATTGAGCAGAAGCAGCTTGGAGGTGATTCCATTGCCTAGAATGTCTGTAATCCCTCCACGAGCAGCACACAGGGATGTACTGAGACACAGTAAATCTCTTCCTTAGCCAGCCACCAAGAACAACCAGCATCTCAACCCAAAATAGCCCCCTTCCACCACCCTCAGGGAAGAGCAGAACCCGAGACACCATCACAGACGCAGATCCAGCAGAGGAGAGCGGCAAGGCTGGGATCTCCTGGCTGAGACAGCGGGCCCTTCCACTGATGGGTACAGTGTGCGAGACTTGCAGATTAATTGCAAACACACATTTCACCTTTCCTAAAGCAACAGGACCACGGAGGGGGCGGTGCAGAGAGGGCCCCTGGGGGGTGGAGCCTAGAGCTGCGGTTCTCAAAGCTGGGGCCCATTAATGCCTTCTGGGAACGCATCAGAAATGCAGATCCTCAGATTTATGGGTCTGAGAACAGCTCATCTGACATCGAGGTGCTGTATGCCAACCCGGGCTCTGCTGACCATGGAGCAGTCACTTACATTCCTTAACTCCAACATCCATCCGGAAAACAGGCAGGGATAAGCCGTCGGGACTGCTCAGTGAAGGGGTTCGGCCTATTAAACACTTAGTAGAAGCCCCACAGTAAAAAATATTAAATCTTAGCTGTCATTGTTTTCATTCTTTTGAAAGCACTGGGACTGGAACAAAGTATGTGCCCAGTACCGGAGACACGTGGACAAACCCACAAACGACTGAGCGGATTACAGATGCTCAGCTCGTGCCGAAAGGAAAGTGCTCACACGAGTGCAAAACCAGACCCTTGTTTGCAGGACGCAGATGAGAAAACAGCACGCACTCTCCTCGGAGAGCTTGCGAACCTCACATGCATTTAACAAGCGGGAAGTGAAGGGAGAGAGAGAGGAAACAGTCACGCAGAGGAAACGGGAAAGGCAGGACTGGAAGTAGCTGTTTCCTGCATTGGTCCATTAGACCGTGGCTCTGAGCGTGCCTCCTCCGAGTGGCCACCCCACAGTCTTAAGTTCCTGACGTCCCGGGCGTGCGTCCTCTTCTCCCTCATCCATGTCCCTGCCGTTTAAGGACCCTTCTTCCCGATGAAGAGGTGCTTCGGGTTCCCCTCGCTCTGCTGCTTGAGGGGAGCTGCTGATCGGGGCATTGAGGAAGGGTTCTGAGAGTACCAGGTATGGGGGACAAGGTGGGACCGCGCAGCTGCAAAACAGGAGGCAGCAGACGTCTGTTCATGGGGCCGTCACAGCAACACCTGCTCGTGGGCTCATCGGAACAATCGATTCCGGCTTCAGAAAACAGGGCGGCCACAAGCACACCAGGTGCAAAATGAGCCCAGGTGAGGAAACGAGAGCTACCAGCTGGGAATCCCTGTGAAAACCAGATAATTGGATAGCTCTGCCACCCTCACTTTGTGGCAAGACAAACCTGCAGTGACCTGATAGCCTGAGAAAGGATTTCCCGAGGCTTGAGCTCATGAATCAACGACAAACCCCAGCAGAGGCTAAGGGAGATCGTTGTTCAGGCTGATGGTGTGTTTCCTCTGCTGGACACGGCTACCAAATTCTAGAAAGTGTAAGGAAGCAAAGAGGCCGCTGCAGAACATAGAGGTAGGTCTCCAAGTGAGTTTAGCTGGCCATTTCTTCCATTTTCTACCCAGAGTGGGTGTACCCCATTCGAGGAACCACCAAAGGCACTGCTTGGCGGTCTGCAGCGAGAGTGACAGGCGTGACCTAAAGCTTCAGACGACAGAGTTGCCTGCATTCAACAGCGTATCTGTGGCAACGTCTTAGGGCCACGACCGGTCACCACCGTCCCACCTTCCCCAGGCCACTCTGATCAAACTTTCCTCTGGTGGCTGAGGCAGGTATGAAGTACCTGGAGTCAGTTAATTGCATGCCTCTGTAATGCACACAGGTTGCTGTCTGTCCTGGGGGGGGGCGGGTGTCTTATCGAGTGCCTCCCAGCTGCTCACCGCCACTTCCCGGCCTCGATCTGACCCGACAACTCTTCCTGGTGGAAGAGATTTCTGTTCTTCTCTTGTCCAAAAGTCGTTTCTCTCCATCTGGCCCCAGTGAGCAATTTACGTCCCTTCACTGTCCCCTTCCCCGCATCATATTCCCAAGAGAATGGGAATTCTAGCCGGAAGCTTCCAGAACCCATACTGCTGAGAGATGGCACCGCTAAATGGTTGAGGGGGTCATTTTGTCCCTGGAGCACACAACACTTTTACTAAATGAAAATCCTTTCCCCCATCTGCCTTTTTTTTCCCATAATAGTAATTCTTTATTCATGAGGTCTTTTCATTTCCATGAAAAACACTGAGGTCATTTTAGTTTTTAATTACAGTAGCATTTATAGTTGTATCGATTTTAACTCTGTAGAAGTAAGCACTGGCCAGACCTTTCCCCGCCCGTTTCTACTCTAAAAAATATTAAGGAGGAAAAGATGGTTTAAAATGGTCATGAATTTCAGTTAGTAACAACCGTTAGCTGTAGATTAATTCTCATTTCACCTAAACCTGCCCTGAATTTTACATCCAATTAATTCGCCTATTTTTGTCTACACCCTCTGGCTAAAGGTATTTTCGCAGGAAGTAAACTACGACAGGAAACTTGATGTGGATGCTGGCAGCATAAGAAGCGTGGAATGGACGTGAAGTTGCTGTGAAGTAACTGAAGCTGAGAGAACTAGTTTTGCTACTTGACTGAGTAAACCGGGCGAGCCGCTTCATTGCCCAGCCCGCGACGTCTTCCTTTCCGGTTGTTGTTGAGGTGTGGTTGATCTACAACGTGGTGTTAGTTTCAGGTGTACAGCACAGGGTTCCACACATCAGTGTGCACACCGTGCTCTTCTTCAGACCCTTTCCCCTGGGCTCCTTTCTTCAGTCACTTCATTCTTATCTTCAACCCTCTGCTTTCTGGTCCTTACTGTTCTCTATCCAGAATCATTACGTCTGTTCTACATGGAAAGTCACCCCCTGCTTCCCCGCAAAAGCTGTCAGACAGGAGAGGAAGTGACAGATTTCTCACCTACTACCAAGAAGGGGAAGGCGCTGAGGCCAAAATGAATCAGCACCTAAATGAGTCATGAGTGTCCGCGTTCCACCTGTAAATTCAGCCGCGTGCCTCACCCATTTGCCTTGGTTTCCTCTTCCTCCACGGGCCCCAGGAAGGAGACCATTTACTGCCCTGACGTAGGGCTCTGTTACACGGTCACTCCATTTCCCAAGGGTCTTACTTCGACCCTGTCTGGCGGTGAAGGGCCCTGACTGCACTCAGGCAACGCGGCAATGAATGGGTCGCTTATCGAAGTCTGCTCTCTCCTCCTCGTGGTCTCCGGAGGAGCTGTTACTTGGCATCGCTTCCTACAGTTGCTCCATTAAGGGGGTGTCACCAGGTCAACCACAAGGACCCTCACCTCTGAGAAAATGGCATGTTGTCATTACACAACTGGCATTTACAGAAACCATCAACACGGCAAAATAGGGCATGGCTGTGTGGACAGCAAACAAACAGGAGTCAGGAGTCTGGGAGAGGTGGGTCTGAATCTCTGCACCTCTTCTATCAGCCTGTTTCCTCACCCGGAAAATGGGGAAACAGCAGTATTTCCCTCACAGAGTCACTGCAAGGATGAAGAATGCACCTTGCACACAGTGCGCTTCCTGGCATCTCGCTTGTGTTTATAGGTAGCTTCCCAGCTTTACAGTTTTACGAGTTAGCCCGGCTACCCTGGCAGCATCGAGATGAGGCAGGTGAGGGAGCTTGACTGTCACCCCCATTTCACAAAACAGTGAAATTGGATCAGACGGATGAGCTGATCTGCACCTGCTCACGAAGCAGGTGGCGGAGCCGGCACTGAACCCCAGGGTCCCGGGGCCTCCGAGATGCACGCTCACTCTCATAGTGTGTCAGACTGTTGTGTTGATAGAAACCTCTTTTATGACTCACATAAAAGGATTCTACTTGGTTCTAGCACCGACCACATGAAGCAGGTGGGCTAGACGTTGCTTTGCAAGTTGACAAATGAAGGCAGTAGAGCGGCAGGGACCCAGTGGGCGGCCTCTCACCCAGTTACCCGCCCAGGGAACCAGCCCGCAGCTCTGCCCCGAGAAACAAAGTCCTTCTTGAACCAGCACAGAATCTGGTGTTTCAGTTAGTTATCCCTGCCCTAAAGACCTTCAAAAATTAACTATTTTCAGTCTACAGAAGGCAATTCCAGCAAGTCCCTCCCGGAATTTCTTAAGGGGCCCTTTGTGAGCAAAGGTGGGGAGGACAAGCTGCCTAATAAACGCAGTCTGGAGACGCCACCTGGTCTCGGCTCCGCTTTGCAGACACTGGAGGTGGAGGCGACGGCGGAGGCGCAGGGAGGGTGCGCACTGGCCCCGGGCCACCTGCGCGGCAGCGCGGGAGGGTCCCCGACGACCCTTTGCAGACCCAGCCGGGCAGGGCCGCCCCCGCCCGGGAGAGGAGACGCTGTGGCGCCGTGGGAGCGCTGGTAATTCTGCAACCAGCAGATGGAAGGGCAGAGAGAGATCACCAGGAACCCTCTCATTGGAGGTATCTCTAATTTGTGCAATTATGTAAATGCATGATGCAGCCCTCCTGGAACCGTGTGGCTGCCTGACAAGGCCGGCTTGGACGCTGGCTGGTATTTAGTGGAAGGCTGGGGGCCCGGGGGCTGGGGGATGGGGTCAGAGGAGAGGGCCTTATTCAATTCAAATATTTCATACTTTTGGAATCTTTTATTTCTGCTTCATTTTCTAAATCTTAGACTGAATCAGAATGAGACTTTAGCTGTGTGCTACCATCCAGTTTTACAATAAATTTTATAGGGACTGACAGTCTCTAAATAGAGTTATTTCTATGTGACAAGCAAGATCAAAGAAGGCGAGTGGGTGATTCGACAATAATGGGGAGGGGGCAGACTGCACACCCGCGGTGCGGGTGCTGGGGGAGGGGGAGCTGGTGCCGGACCCGTGGGAACCACACCAGCTCTTGGCCGCTGTGCAGATGAAATACAGATCAATTACTCTCATTTCTCAAGTGATTGTGGTAAAATGTCCAATTGAAATTAATGTATAGACTAGTAATGATCTTTGTATTCACTTTGACATAACAGTGACTAGTATTTGAAAGTGCCTTGGCTTGAGACTCCTTTTGTTTTGTCTTCCAGAAGCGTCAGAACTGGCTTTGATGGTCAAGTAAGGGCTCACCTCTGGTGAAAAGTATCCATCACGTCTGGCTCAGTCACCAGCGATGCCGCGCCTGCAGCCAGCACTGCCTTAGACTCCCAGTTATCTGACACCATTCGTTTCCTTTGTTTAAGTCAGTTTGGGGCAAAAGCATCCCTGGACATAATGAGGGAAAGAACGGAACCAAAGAGCATAACAGACAAGCACCTTTGTCTGAGCCTTAAATAGAAAAACACTGCTGGTGGGAATGCAGTTTGGTGCAGCCACTGTGGAAAACAGTATGGCAATTCCTCAAAAGACTAGGAATACACTGACCATATGACCCAGGAATCCCACTCCTGGGCATGTATCCAGAAGGAACCCTACTTCAAAATGACACTTGCACCCCAATGTTCATAGCCGCACTATTTACAACAGCCAAGGCATGGAAACAACCTAAATGTCCATCAACAGATGACTGGATAAAGAAGATGTGGTATATTTATACAAT